GATGTACAATTATACACGTAATACGTAATTTATTTGGAAAAGTATAAATTAGCTAGTTCACTTTATATATAAGAATGCACTTTATAAAGTAACATGATGCACTTTATAAAATAATATGTTGCACTTTATCATATCATCTATCTACAAAATATACAGGCATGCTAACGTACCAATATCAATATGTTGCATTTTATACATTAATACATTGCACCTTATAACACAACATACTGCACCGTACATTATACATTGCACATTAGTCACGGTCAACATAACAATAATGATAGACCATATGCACATTAATATGTTTGAGAATGCACCTTATAATAACAATGCGCATTTTTTTCACAAAAAATATTAAAATTTAGGTCATTGCATTCCAAGTTAGGCTCTATTTACAAAAGAAAAAGAAAATAACAGAACCGATCAAACCATAATTGTATTTTTTATATGTTATCTATATATATTTATTAAAACGACACTACAATTTTTTTTTTTTTTTTGGGTATAGAGCAATACAAAATGTTAACGAAAAATATTACGAATATTAAATATATTTTTATGCAAAATAATAATAATAATAATAATAATAATAATAATAATAATAATAATAATAATAATAATAATAATAATAATAATAATAATAATAATAATAATGATGATAATAATAGAGATAATAATAATAAAATAGTTGCACGTCCAATGGGAATTAGTAATAGTCTGATTGCTCATTAATAATAGTTATATTGCACTCTAGTGTTAAACGGGTTGCACATTAATATACGATATATTGCACTATATGGACATAACTAGACCGACTTCGGTTTTTGTGTTCGAATTTTATGTCGGGTCGATTATATATGTTTACTTTAAAAATGTTACTCATTTCGATTCGATAACATCTCTTTATTTTTTTTATTTTTTTTAAATAACCAAAATAATCATACATAACAAACTATATATATATAAAAAAAAATACTATTTTCTTATAATAATATTATTTTTTCAATGAAAATAAATAAAATTTTAGATAAAAATATTAATGTGCACTTTACATAACGCTGATGTGCAGTTTAATTATCGTTAACGTGCAATTTACGTAACACTAATGTGTAAGTATTGAAAGCTTTATAAATTATAATTTGGACACATGAACTTAATTGTAATATGTTGAAGTTTATAAAATTGCAATTGAGTCCTCTTAACATATCAAATTTTCAGAAAAAATGCCCCAAATCCTAGAATGCTCTAATTTTCGTTCTCTTTTCTGCCAGCGACTAGAATGGCGTTCTGTGGCGGCGCCGAGCCGACTGGCGGCGGACGGAGGCCGAGCGGCAGGCAGGTGGTGGTTCACGGTGTCGGTGCCCCGACCTGCAACTTCTCTGCACTTTTCTAGCGGAGATGAAGTGGG